GGTGTTTCATTTTTAACTTTATGAAAGCTTCAAGTGCAGTTAATTATTTGTATGTGCATACAGACGACGGCGGGTGTTGAAGCTTTTTTTAATTTGCTGTCAAACGGTTGACCACTGCCGTGTGTGTATCCTGTTGCAAAATGCAGCGAAATTCCTACACGACGGTAATAGTGTGATTAAGGCGCTTACATGTCTATACTGCACTTCAGTAATGCGACTAAAATAGGAATACTCCACATGTCTTAATTCGATTTCTGTTTACTTCGAATATGACTTTAGCCGGATTAAGGTAATCAAAAATCTCTGTTTACATGGTAGATTCTTAATCAGAATATTGTCTTAATCGTATTAAAATCGGATTATTGTTGTCCATGTAAATGTACTCTCTGTTTGCGCTCATGAATGGCTGCATCGGTTTGTTTTAGAATAAAGGATTGTGGGTAGAGTTGCCTCAACCTGGCGCCAGAGTGGGTCCACATCTCTCAATTCTCACATGGAGAACTAAAAAATGACCTTTTTTTTGGGGTGGAGGGGCAAACGCACAGGATGTATCTGTGCATTCCAAAACAGCTAGAATGCAACAGAATCCCAGCTAACAGTAACATTTTCAGAACTTTGGATAACGTTCTGGACAAAGTAATGAACAAATGTTCTTCCAGTAACATTCATGGAATGTTCATTCAAAGTTATCTGGTCTTTAATAGCGCTTTCAAACAGAAGGGGGAAAAAAAAATAAAACTACAGTTTTTTTTTCTTGAAACATTTTCACTGAGCATTCCTCTATCTTTTATTTTAATTTATTTTTTTTAAATGTGACTACTTGTTTTGAAACATTCAGAGAACATTCAAAACGTCTCGGTTACGTATGGTCCTGAAGGAGGGAACGGAGACGTCACGTCGGATGACCGACGAAATTGGGATCTCGCTTAGAGGGACCAATCTACTTCGAGTGTAAACTAAACGAGCCAATGCACATTGGCATGCGATTATTGCATCCAGCTGCTGCTGATCACAGCGTGAGTATAAGTAGGCAGCAGATGCAGCGCATATTCAGGTTTTCGCTGAGGAGCCGAGCCGGTGACCCGGCCGCTCAGCGGTGGTACAGGAGCTGTGGCGACGGGACGTGACGTCTCCGTTCCCTCCTTCAGGGAACGAGGGTTACCATACGTAACCGAGACGTTCCCTTTCAGTCGGTTTTTCCCGACGTCACGTCGGATGACCGACGAAATTGGGATCCTACCAAAAGGCCACAGCTACTGCCCCTTCCAGTGTCCTGTGGAAGCCACCTGCGCCAGGGCCTGCACAAGAGGACCAGCTACTGCTACGATGGCACTACCCACTGAGTATGACTGGATAACACTGGGAAAACTTACCCGTTCCACTTGGACCAGGGATGTTACGGAAGCTCGAACCTTCCCGAAGGAGGTTTCGGAAGCAATACACATATGGACAT